GACTTTATTAAACGAGTTTGTTTGGCCCTCTATCAGCGTGGCTGGGAGCTGAAGTACGTGCCTTAGGAGACACTTTTTTCTCCCAAAGAAGGGTCGGGTTGAGGGGTAGGTCCTCCTAGCAACCTGCTGGTACCTAGAAGGAGATTATTGAGGAGATGCAGCTTCTCGTGATGATGTGTGGTGGAAGATCAAGCTACAACAACCTCAGTGGAAATCTTGGTAGTGAACTGTAGCTGTTTATGAACAGTCTGATCCTTCCCAGAGTCTAGTGTCTGTAACAGCAGATGATTTATGCTGTCTTTTTTTTTTTCCTTTCCTTTTTTTAGTGGGCAAAATGAATATAAGTAAATGGAGACATGTCTCAGCTTAATCTAGGGAGCGGTTGTGTGCTAAGCCAATCTTGCACTCTATAGTCAAATTATTGTTTAGCAGGTTTTACATATTTAGTGAGAGTGAGATGAGAACTTTTACAGGTATGAGAAAATCAGAATAAAAGGGATATAAGCAAATTCCTTCTAATGATGACCCACAAATTTGTTTTTCTTAAACATTTTTACTGACTTAGTAATTCAGGTAATAGCTGTATCTGATGATAATTTAGTTAATATAGACACTATTTGTATTTACACTCTTTTGTAAGTTCTTTTAAAATATGCTTACTTTCCCACTTTTGATGATGAAATCTGTATTATAAATGAACAGATACATCTATTTTTTTCCTTACATATCCACATAACATTTGCAAAGCTAATGCTTGCAAATATTTTGCTAATATATTTGCAAAGCTGCAGTTACACTTTTCATTGTATTCTGGCAAAAACTGTGCCAATCAAAGCTACAGTGCTTCATGGGAATTTAGGAGGTTAAGTTAGTAAACAAGCTAGATGAAAGCTTTTGTTTGCCTTCAGAAAATGAAACAAAGCTGTTTCATTAATACACCTTCAGAAGAGACAAGAATCTGCGTAAAGCTTTTAAAGCTGGTCTTTCAGTTCATTTTACTGTACTTTTCAGCTGAGATCAAATGGGGAAAGTGATGGTGATTAGAAGTGTTCCTTTAACATCCCAGGGTGTCCATCCTCGGTTTGAGTTAGACGTCCAATTCCACCGCTTGCTGGGAAGGTGCAGGGATGTGGGTATTTAACCCCAGTGCTTTCCTTCTCCCCTTGTCCCAGTTGAGAAGTGGTGATAAACTAGAAACTGCCCTCTCCCCTTCTGAAAAGGGAGACATCAGGAATCAGGAGTTAAATTGAGGCGTTTGGCTATTTTTATTTTTTTAGCTTTTCTTGGCTTATAAAAATCTCATGAACAGCTTAGGAGGAATCTGTTATGGGAAAATGTCAGCTGGGTAAAATAACATGACTGCAAAGTTAGAATAAAGGATTAGTGCAATTAGGTGTTTGCGTTTTTTTCATAGATCTGTTTTGAATACAAATATGTTGTTAGTAGCCTCCAGTTGCCTTCCTGAATTATAGCTCTTGGGTTTCATATATAAAAAAGTAATAAACAAAAACCCAATAATTTACTCCGTGTATGTTCCATTCACTTGAAATAATTAAGTTGCAGTAAATAAGACTTGGGATTTCTTTTTTCTTTTTTTTCCCCCTTTTTTTTTTTTTTTTAAATTCCAGATCATGTTTGTGCATTTCATGATAAAGGATCAGTAAGATTTGCAAATATTTCTGTTGTGTTTTGGCTTGGGATATGAAGCGAGGTCAATTTATAATGAGAAAGCTTCCGAAGTAGCTGTACAGTACCTGGGACAGCTTGTTTAATGCTTGAATGTAGCCCAGGGTCACTGGTGCTAGGTCGTGACTCCAGTTTGCTGTAGAATAATTTTATCCTAGGTACATATTCCTGACTGGGAAGAGTGCTAGGCCAGCTAATGCCTTATTCTAGTTTTCAAACACAATGACATTTTCTAAGCGTTATTGATCTTGACCCAGCAAAATTGTATAAAAGGCATTAAATGTTTCCAGGATCAATGCGCAGGAAGAGTTGAGAGGATGAAAAAAGTGTTTGAAACTTGAAAAACCAGTGTATTGTTGAGATGACACAAATAGCGTTTTATCCACTGCTCAGAGTGTGGAGGGGAAGTAACGTGAAGGACTTGTTAACTCGTGTGTTTGAGTTACTGCTTCTGCTGTTTTCCTGGTGGGCACTGGTCCGTGGCGTGCCTGACTGTTATCTCTTTGCTTATTCTTGGCCGTCGTTCGAATATTGTTTGTTTGTGACTGCCCCAGGCAGTTCGAGGGTGCCACCAGAGGTTGCTGGTAACATTTTTTTTTTGTCCAAGGGCTGTTGAAGTAAAGAGTGAAATCCACTTCTGGCTGCAGAAGTCCCTCAGCTGCAAGTGGCAAGACGCTCAGAGGCTGAATTTGGGGAAGTTTTGCTGTATGTTTTTTCTGCTCTTAGATGTTCCCTGGCATCTGCTCTCGAGTACTGTGACAAGACATGGAGTTAAAAGGATTCTTTTTGCTCTGATCTGATGCGGCTGTTCTTCTGTTTCCAGGTTCTCTTAGATAGTCCTTGCTTGATCTAGCATTAAAGGTATTTCTTAAGAATTTTTTTCCTCTTTTATGAAGCGTGACGGAGGTCTCTCTCTTTAGTAAGACACTGGAAATGATGTTCAGCAACTTTCAGTTTGGTTCTTGCTTGCATCTTTTTTTTGTGTATGTGTGTGATGTTCAACCTTTTTTTCCACTTTGAGCTTCCCACAGAAACCAGATTTCTACTTTTCCTCCTCATACATCTTCTCTATGCTGGTTTTGGCCCTTGCCTGTGATTGGAGCACCCGTGACTTCATTACAGCATTTCTCCTTGCCCTTCTTCCTTCTCCTGTAAGCATCCTTTGTGATCTCTATAATCACTGTGAAGTGGAGAATTGGAGAGGTGGGCAGCACGCAGGGAGATCGTTCACTGAAGTACAACTCTTGTCTCATTTAAAGTGAATCTTTAAATGAATTTACTACGTCAACTGTGTTCTTTTGGGTGCCTCATAACCTTGTTGGCATCTGAATGTTCCTGAACCCTTCAAGTAGAATTCTTGGATACCACAATGTGTTTACCACTTGGAAAATATTTAAGTAATTGGTTTCAGCAAATAATTCTCTTGTGATGTGTGAGGATTTTTTTTTTTCTGTATTTATATTCTAACCCATTTTTGAAGTACCAGTCTGGCCAAAAAAATAATAAATAATGAGGCAAGGAATCTGCTTCCTGATTATCTAGTCTTGGTTTGCAAAGCAACAGGGAATGTCTGCTGGCAGCTGAACTGCTTGTCTGGCCCTGGGGAGGGCTTGGGCGAACCAGTTCCTCGAGTCTGAGTGCCCAGAGCCCTGCGTGAGCATTGGGTGGTGTGACTGAAGCCCAGCCAAGGGTGTTAGCGGGGGAGATGGAGAAATCCTTTGCTAGATGTTTATGATCTTGCATGCAACGTATACAATACCTATTTGGAGTCTTATAAATGGGTTTTCTGGGTGTTTTGTTTTTTTTTTTTTTTTTAACCCTATGAAGGCTGGCGTTTATTTTTTTACTATTTTGTGTATCTGAAGAAGTAAATGATGTGCCTTAGTGCCCAGAAAACTCTAGGAAAGGAAATCCATTACTCCTGGAAAAAAATGGAAATTCCTCTTTCTCCTGGTATAACAAATGCAGTATTGTCAGTGGCTAACATATGGTAGCTATTTCTGTGGAAAAGTCAAAGTACTATTGTTCAAGATGATGAACAGAAAAAAATTTTCTTCCTTTTGTAGGTGTCTTTACAGTGCCCTCTAGTAATCTTTTGTAGAAATGCTAGATGTATGTTTTCTCAGACCAGTTGGATAAAGTAATGAAAATGATCACTGGAAGATTTTAAAAAAAGAAGAAAATAATTGAACTCTGGCCCCCTGCAACATCAGTGCTTTCTAAAGGAAGCACTGCTAATATTAAAAATAAGTAAAAATTGCTTGCCATGCTTTTCTTCTTTGTATCGATCAGGAGGAATATGAAAACTATAAGCACTCTGAAGTCAGATGACCGTAAAAGCTACCGTAGCTTACAACTCTAAATTGGGTGCTCCAGTAATGGTGTTTCAGCCAGCACTGCAAAAGTTACAAACAAAGAAACTAATTTTATCTTTTTACTTGAAGATGAGGAAGAAAATTGCAGGGGAATAAGAGCTGTACCAAGCATTCCAAAATGAGCTGGCCTGGGCAGAAAAAAAAAAATCTTCTGGTGTACTGTTAGTTTCACATGACAGGTAATAATTTTGGCTTGTTTTGACAGGTGAGAAAGAGAGAAGTTTGGCATAGGGATGGAGGCTTTGGTGGGGTAGTATATGTTGATTTTCATGGTGCTTGCTTCCCTGGTGACGATCTTAACCATGAAAGCATCTTACTTCTGCTGTTAGATCATGTTTTGAACCACTAATCCCAAGAGATTTTGATTAAGGTAACTTCTGTGCTGGATGTTTAAGTCAAAAAGGCTTTACGTTATTATCATTCTAGTTATTGCTGTCATTCCTAGCAATGGAAAGGGGGAATACCATGTGCAAGGATGTTTTGTCCTTTGTATCTGGTAAAACATGGTACCATTTTTAAATCTTCTGGAAGTTTAAAAGGGATGTGTCGATTAAAGGGATTGGCCATTTGAATGAAAATAGATACTTTTCTGAAATGAGAGAAATGGTTTTGGTAATTCTGCACACACACAAAAAGGTGGATGAAATCCTTTAAGCTCTCTTCTCAAATGGTTATGAAAAGAAATTTTGTAGTTAGGATATTCAGAGGAGTTCCTTCATTTGCTTAACTTGAATATTCCTTGTTAGATGTCCTGACTTGCTTTTCCTTCTATTTCTAAAAGCAAAATCTCTTTGAAAGGATTTTCAGGTTAGAGGTTTGTGGGACTTGGTTCCTAGATGTGAGTTCTATAAAACCCAAGGATTGTTTTTAAGCAACCTGAAAGAAATCCAGATTTTTGGTTGTAGCGATTGTAACGGATTCTTCTTTCTTGCACACCAGGAGGAACAAAAAATCCAACAGAACTTGCTTTTGAAGCATGGCTGGTTGTAGGTTTGAGTGTAGGCTTAAGGCAGATGAAATCCTTGCGAGAAAGTAAGCCATGAACAGTGGAGTTTGGGACCAGACAAGAAGGAGTATCTCCTTTTTGGGGATTTTTTTCAGGACAGGTTGCACAAGAGTACCATGAGAAATGGTTACAGTAGCTCATATTTTAGGGGAAAGTGCTGCAGCAGGAGTTTGTGTCATCTTTTCTCCTTCAGTTTTCCAAGCTCGGTGGAACTGCAGCCCATTAATAAGGGGTGTAAAAGTTGTTACTCAGTGTGGCAGTGCTCATTAGGTGGCTTTGTAAGGGAGCTGTTGTCACAGAACTTTAGACAATTAAGCAGCAACACTGTTAATAATAAAGTTGCTTCTGTGCATTCAGAATTCAGGTTAAAATTTCTAATTCCCTAGAGGTGTCAGAAAGGCCATGCAGCTAAACACTAGACATAAATGCATCTTCTAAGACATTTGATATTTGAGATTACAAACTCTGTTTGGATTTTTCTGTTGATGATTATCTTGTTTGCTTTCCCATTATTTAATAATATATGAAGAGATGGTATCACTTACAGAATGAGTGGTTAGAGTAAATGCGTGGATGCTTACTTCTCAGTGTTATGCTGCTGGCATGCTGTACACTATTTGGATACTTTTTCGTTAATTCTGTTTCTACATACTCTTTTTAAATCGGCTAATTTTTTTTTAAATATAATTTTGTGCTTGAGGTCTATCAGGAAGGTCAGGTAAGATTAAGCCAGCAATAATTTGCTATTAACAAGCAAAAGGTAACTGAAAGTATGGACAAAGCTATAAAGCATCGTTGCAAAATGTAGATTGATTTGCTTGACTTTCTTTGCATATTGTTGGACTGTCAAAAAGGCAAGGTTACTCCTGAGTTACTGAAGGCAAAGCCATGAAATACACTTCTGTCTGTGTTACAGTCGTTCCTATGACAATGAGCATTTTTTATGTTTTTGTTAGTACATGGTGGCAAAAATCTTCTCAACTCAGTAGCGTTAAACCATTAGAGAGTAATATGCAAAACCATGTGGCTTTTTTACAACTTTGTATTTCTTGCTGGACACTTTTTGAAAATCATGGCAGCAAAGAGGCACAGCAGAGTTCCTTCTGTCTAGAAACTCTGTGTTGCTGACAGCCTGCTGTTGGTCTTCACAGAATCACAGAATGTTAGGGGTTGGAAGGGACCTCTGAAGATCATCTAGTCCAACCATCATTCAGATCCATGCTCTTCAGGATGGACCATAAAGAATTATTTCTCTACACTTAGCATTTTATTGAGGAGAATGATTGAGGCTCCAGGTTTTTTGGTGGTGTCCTAGGCTGTTAATATTCACTCAGTATTGTCTACTTGGTCTGTATTGTAAGAAGGCACCTGTGTGCAGGAATGACAACAGAAGAGAAGACAAAAGGACCCATCTTTATGCTGCTTTTTGAGGAGAATTCGCCTGGACAAGCAATTTTTATTCCTACATTGTTGTATATTTCTTCCCTACGCTGTTGCTAGCCCACCATGCTTAGTTACACTGGGGTGAAGATGAGTAACTCTGTGATGAGTATCTTCATTATAGCCTATTAAATCATGAAAAGAGGAAATCATAGAATCGTAGAACGTGTTGGGCTGGAAGGAACCTTTAAAGTACATCTAGTCTAACCCCTCTGCAGTTAGCGGGGACAGCTTTAGATCAGGTTGCTCAGAGCCTCATCAAGTCTGACCTTTAATGCCTACAGGGATGGAGCCTCCGCCACCTCTCTGGGCAACCTATTCCCATGTTTCACCACCCTTTTTTCTAACATCTCTGATCTAAATCTACCCTGCTCTAGTTTAAAACCGTTGCCTCTTGTCCTGTTGCTACACAACCTTCCAAGCTTTCCTGTAGACCCAGGAAGGCTGCTGTAAGGTCTCCCTGGAGCCTTCTCTTCTCCAGGCTGAACAGCTCCAACTCTCTCACCCTCTCCTTGTAGGAGAGGTGCTGCAGCCCTTTGACCACTTTTGTGGCCTTGCTCTGGACCTGCTCCAACAGGTTCACATCCTTCTTGTGCTGAGGGCTCCACAGCTGGACACAGTACTCCAGGTGAGATCTCAGCAGAGCAGAGGATCAGAATGACTGCTCTTGATCTGCTGGCTGTTCTTCTTTTGATGCAGCCCAGGGTGCAATTGGCTTTTTGGGTGCAAGCATGCATTGTTGGCTCATGTCCAGCTTTTTGTCCACTGACACACCAAAGTCCCTCTCTGCAGGGTTGCTCTCTATCACGTCATCCCCCAGACTCTATTGATAACGAAGATTGCCACAACCCAGGTGCAGGACTCTTATACTTGGCTTTGTTGAACCCCATGAAGTTCATATGGACCCACATCTCCAGCCTGTCCGAGTTACTCTGGAGGACATCCCATCCCTCTGGCATGTTGGCCGCACCAGTCAGCTTGGTGCTCAGTCAACTTGCTGAGGGTGCACTCAGTCCTGCTGTCTGTGTCATTGATTAAGATATTGAGGAGCACTGGTCCCAGCACAGGCCCCTGAGGGACACCTGTCTCCATGTGAACATCGAGCCATTGACCTCTAACCTCTGGGTGCGACCATCCAACCAATTCCTTATCCACTGAACAGTCCACCCATTAAATCTATATTTTTCCGATTTGGAGATGTTGTGGGGGACTGTGTCAAAGGCCTTGTAGAAGCCTAGATGGGTGACATCCGTCGCTCTTCCCTTGTCCACTGATGCAGTCACTCCATTGTAGAAAGCCTCTAGGTTGGTCAGGTGGGACATGTCTGTGGTGAAGCCGTGCTGGGTGACTTGAATCACCTCCCTGTCCCCCATGGGCCTTAGCAGAGCTTCTAGGAGGATCTGTTCCATGATTGTTCCAGGCACAGAGGTGAGACTGACCAGCTGGTATTCCTACCCTTTTTAATCTGCTTGTGTTGAAGGAGAAAATAATCTACTAGGTCTGGGAAAGTCTAGGTTTATAAATGACATTACTTATGTGTTCCATCACTTGCTTTGCTAGGTTCCACTGTCCGTGCATCACTGGAATTAGTAAAGTACTAGCAGGATTCATGTTGTCCATCTGGAGTCAGGGACTGCAGTTTCAATTTTTCTTTTTTTCTCAATGCTTAATTTTAATATAATTTTTGTCTCTTCTTTTACAGATAGTAAAGTCTTTGCAGGTAAAGAAATGAAACAATGTTTAGAGAATGCGGTTTAGAGAATTTGGCCTTGGTTTTTCAGTATAAGTGAACTTGCCAAGCAGCTTGTACATTATTGGGCTTTGGATATGCTTAAAAAACCTGAAATCCTAAAGATCCTTGTTTGATTGTGTGTATTGCCATTGTAAGTAGCTTAATTTGGTCAGGTGGTCTGTATTCCCTATAAGAGAAAGTGTAATACTAAGCAGAAAATATGTCTCCGTGTAGACGTTTTTTCTGTTGTGCTATATTGTAATATCACATATAAATTTTTCTTTTTGTGTAGTGCAGAATGTTTCCAGTGTTAAGGAAAAAAAATTATGAATCTGCTATTACTTACCTTTTAATTAGAAATTAATGCGTGTAGCAATTTATCCGTATAGTTAATGTGTCTTTTAGCAATGAATATTTTAACAAAATCACAAACTAACTTCATTGTGAGCTTTTACTGGCAGCTGGCAAAGAATAGTGTTTGTAACATCTTCAGTTAAAATACGTTTGGCTAATTGTTGAAGACAGCTTTTTTAATGATCGGGGTTAGGAAGGGCATGACATGCTGGTTTCAGGATTACAGGGGCCAGTGGGAACGTTAATTAAATTCTGGTGAAAAGCCTTTTAAAAGTTCAGTCCTGCAGCAAGAGAGCTCAAATCTTGTATCATTCGCTTACAACACATAAAAAGGGCCTTTATATAGTTTCTGCTGGTCTGATTGGGATTTTGTCAAATGCTTCTGTTTTAAACGTCAGTTTTCAAGGGTGTTCTATGTGCTCTTAAATTGCTTTGGAGTGTAAGTTAAAAGGACGAGTATCATCGCCTTCTGTTGACACATCTTTTCTCAACATGTAAAAGTAAATAATCTTTCTTCATCAGAGCCCTGTATGACTCCTCCCAACAGCTGAATCCTTGTGTTCTGCTAATCGGAAGTCCGGTACTTTTGATGAAAGATGGGTTTGGTTGCTGTAATTTATCATTCTGTTTGGAACAAGTGATTCCAAAGTTAAACCTGTGCTTCACGTTTTCTTTCTGCATGGTTATTGCATTTTGTCCTTGTAAAATGGAATGCAGTTGCCTTCCAAAAGTTACATGAAATCTGCTATTGAAAGTCCTCTGCTTTGAATGCAGTTGATGACCGTCATCAGGAAAGCCATCACCATCAGATAGTTTTGCTGGCAATAGTGAATTAAAGTTGAATCTGTAGCACTGGTAGCAGAGAAATCTCCCGATACATATTGCCCTGTGCTGGTTTGAGGTAATTTATACGTTTGTTTTAAGTTGAACGGAGATCAGAGTGGTTTCGTCTGCAGTTATTTCCCAAAACACTGTAATTTCTGAAGAGTGGTATCAGGTAGTTGTTAAAAGCGCATATTTAAGTGATTTGGTACCGGAATGCTTGGGTCTTTTAGAAATTGACTGGATAACGAAGGAAAGCACCTTCCCACCTGTGCAGCCATTTTGCATTTCCCATTCTAGGAGTTTCCTCACCTGAAGCCTTGTTAATGATCTACCACTGCACAAAATGGGCTGCAGCTAGCAGAACTCACCAAAAAAAATGGCAGCAAAATTCACAAAAAGGCCATGGCAGCAGTGAAAAGATGGCTGGAGGAAGCCTTGGATTTCTTTTTTCCACGGAGGTATATCACTCTTTGAAAAGGCAGCATTTGGAAAAAACGATTGATGAATTCTTTCTGTCTTACCTGGCTGCTTTCAGATTTCCCGTAGCTGGAAGGTGTTGTATTAAAACTGTCTTCTCTGGAGTTTAAAAGTCATTTCGTGGTCTTTGGGGAAGTCTACTGTAAGGAGAAGTTCAGGCAGGTTCACTTTAACTTTTTGAACTTGGTGTTATCTCCTGAACGTGCTCTGTTTGGTGCTTTTTCACTGAGAAGAGCTTCATGCTTAAGGTCCTTCATCCTCATACTGAGAAGGTACGAGATCAGCTAGGCATAGCAAAGGGCAATTGTTCAATATTCTCAAGTCAGTTCTGTGTGCTAAGTTTTGTCTTGGCTGAAACCTGTTTAGAACTGTTGATTAATATTGAGAATTTCGGGAGAGATGAGCTATAAGGAGAACTAGAAAATCCCCAAATATTTTGAATGGGAGGAAAAGCTAGGGGTATATAAGTAGTCAGCTTGGCTTCAGTTCTTGGAAAAATTGAGGGATGAGTGAACAAACCTTGGTAATATAAAAGTTTCATAGAAAAAAGTAACATCCCTTATTCTTTCATCAAGCACTACCATCCCATTATGCTCTAGTAAGGAAATAGGGAAGCTTGGCCTTTAACTGATGAAGGACGACTGTGAAAATGGTGTTGAGAGAAGTAAGAAGATATTAAAGGCTGCTTTGTGGGTGATTTTGCACTTGTGTATTCTGAGTAAACTTATAGATAACAGGAAGGTTGGATTAAATGATCTCTAAGGTGCCTTCCAACCTAGGCCATTCTATGGTTCTATGTCTCTCGCAGCCTCCATGACAGAGTTAGCTATATTTGAATTTTCACATGACTTACAGCTGGAAGAGGGAGAACAAGGTTAGATTTCAGAGTTGGTAAAAGTTGGTGAAAGCTAATACAAGTTAGGCAGGAGCAATCAGCTAGTCAAATATTAAATGGAAAAGAAGAGGCCTTGCGGCAGTTTCTAAGAAAAGGATCTAGGGATTTGCGGTCGTGAAGGGATTACGGGTTGATGAGGGCCGTGGTGTTACGCTTCTGCACTAAACCCTAGTGCCTGTAATCTGGGATGAAGGGAGTTGTAGAGTTTGTGTGTCGGCTCAAATGTGATACCCTGCGCGCTGAGCATCAAGTACGTCTGCACATAAGTGTGATTATACAAATCAAAGTGACGTGAGCAGCACCTAGAAGTTTTGTAATTTGTTCTGGTTTGTTGTTGTTGTTGTGTGGGTTTTTGGTTGCTCATTTTTATCCTCAGGAAAGATGTCATCTCAAGGATTGGATACCAACATAAACCTCCAATGTGAAACTGTTACTGTCACTCAGATAACCTCAATATTTCTATACGTTTTTTCCTTGTTTTTTCCTCTTAGAATTCTTGAAGGTAGAGGGATATTTGAATGATATAACCTACAGAAGCATAATTTATCTGTTTCTTTCACACCACTCCTGCCTTATCTTCAAGTTGCTGTGAATTCTGAGCAGCAAAGACAATAGGCTTTGTGCAGGAAGGCTGGAGTCTCTCTCCAGGGGGAACCTCATGACTCTTTGGAGACGAGAGACTTTCTGTGCAATTCAGTGATAGAGGGAATCGTATCAATTTGTTAATTAAGGCTATTTTAGAAGGTAAATCCGATTTAAAAACAACCAAGCCATTGAAGAAGCTAAAACGCTTGCAGGACAGACTTTCTTTACAAGTAAAGGTCTCCTTCATATTTGTACTTTTTTTTTTTCTAAAAACACAGACTTCATAATTGTTCTGTGACTCAGTGAAACAAATCCGGTTATTAAATGCATATTCCTCTTCAAGGTGGTCGTAACGTACTTCGACATTTCATTATCGACCTTACTGTGAAAGGTGAAATGATAAGATGAGTATTTTTAATGACCCTTTCTGAAGGGCTTAGCATGTGCAGTAGAAGCTTCATTTTGCATTCGGTGAAAGCATTGTAACCCTTTTCTAACAAGGCCTTTCACAAGCAGTACAAATTGCCGTCACGTTCTTAGGAGAAGTGTCTACAAGGAGAAACACGCTCCTACTATATCAGAGCAAGTAAACTTGTTCACGGGTAGCTTTACTACACCAGTATCAATAAATAATGTAACACCTACCTGTTATTCTCTGCTGCGTTACACTGTCTGAACATTCATCTTAAAGACTCTGTGTAACTTGGAGGAATTTCAGAGTCCTTTGGTGTAAACAGTCCAAGCAGAAAACACTCTGCTGTATAGACTAACGTATTTCTAATGTGTTCAGGGAGATGATACTGCGAGTAGTCATGGCTTTTGTCCACACTGCAGTATTTTGAAATGGGGAGGCATTTTATGTTTAAAAAAAATGTGGATGGCTAACCCCAAAATTGTGTGATGTGATTTGTGTCTTGCAGGATCCCTTGTAAGAACCTTCACTCCTTTTTACTTTCTGGTGGAGCCAGTGGACATTCTGTCAGTTCGCGGAGCTTCCGTTATAATGAACTGTTCAGCTTATTGTGAAACTTCTCCAAAAATCGAATGGAAAAAAGATGGGACTTTTCTGAGCTTGGTGTCAGATGACCGTCGCCAGTTGCTACCAGATGGATCTTTATTAATAAACAGTGTGGTGCATTCCAAGCATAATAAACCCGATGAAGGATATTATCAATGTGTGGCGACTGTAGAAAGCCTGGGGACCATTGTCAGCAGAACAGCAAAGCTCACGGTGGCAGGTAAGTCTCATTGTTAAGTATAACTACCAGCACAGTAGTGCAGACCTGTGCTCTGCCCTTGCAGAAGAGGACAGTTCTTTTCAAGGAAAGAGGAGATGATTTCTTCAGTTATCAGTGAGACTGGGACTGTGTCTCTCGCTGTAGTAACTGCAGGTTGTCATGCATTCTGTTTATCTAAGTGGCTTGGTGTGTGGGTATTTCTCAGGAAATGCTCAAGGTCGGGAAAACTGCAATGAGGGTAGAAAACAGTAAGCAAGTGAAGTTTGCGTATAAAAATAAAGAATATGACTGGGCTAAGTGATCTCTTCTCAGAATGTTGTTTGCTTATATCTCAGTGCTTAGGAGTATCAGATTGTCTGTGTCTTGTAAACAGTGTAACTGGAAGAGGCTTGTAATTACTTAGTAATAGTGGGACTTCAAAAACCAACAAAAAAAAAGTAAACAAATGTAACTAGGCAAGAAGCCTGTGAAGCAATTTTCTTTTGTTTCTCTAATGATGTTTGCCAGCCTTTTTCAAACAGTTGGGTTTTTTCTTAGCTTAATAAACGTCTCAAGGTAATGATTTCTTTCTGACTAGTGCTACAGCATCTCCCAGAGCTGCTGCTTACTGTCATTTATATTCTGATGTTGTTTCGATTAAGTTAGCTGTAGCATTATTGCGAAACATCAGAAATGTCAGAAATAAAAAGAATTGAGATTTTTATACTGTAAAGGAGTGACTTTCAGAGTCTCTGAATGAGAAATACATTTCTAAGTTTCTTGGCAATGAGGACAATAAAAGCAGTTCTTACACACTTATCTCAGGCAATTACCACCTCCTTCTATTGCTGCTGTCGTGATTAATTCTGCTGCTTTCCACATGAGATCATTCAGTGCCTTGCTTCTGTTATCATTCTGGTCTATATGATCATTAGATGAGGTTAATGGGGTTAAAAATGAAGGTAATCCAAAATGTCTGCAAAATTTCCACTTCAATTTTCCTGTATCAGTATAGAAGATACCATTTTAATTGATAGTTTTTAAAGTGATGGAATCTTAAAGATCCTTTAGTATTAAAAAAACCCAAACTACCTCCAACAAATGTACAAACAAACAAAAACCCCTAACCAACAACAAAACCTAAACCAACACAATTCTGGTAGTCTTTTGTTCTGCATTGCATTATGCTGTGTCCTCTTAAGTTAAACCTGCACAGGAGCATCCTCTGGCTGCAGCGTGTGTCAGTTGTTCTGCTGCTGCTCTAAAACATCTGCTGAACGTGGGTGTGAGAAAACCCGTTTACTAACTCAGTAAAGTGCCAAGAGCTCTGCAAGACTACACAGAGCTTAATCCTGTGGTTGGGGGAAGGGTACCTTTGTTTGCTGAAGGCTTCAGAGAAGGAGCTAGAATATTTAAAATCTGGTTTAACTATACAGCTTTTCTTGACCTCATTTGAATCCCTTCATTACATCAGTGTTTTCTAATATTTCTTTCCCCCCTCTCTTTCTTTTAATTGGAAGCTTTCTGGCTGCGCTAAGCATGGGGATCGTTAGCATAGTAAGGTCTCTCCTCAGCCTCAACATAACTGTGGGAGGCGGCTAATTCCCTTCTTAATTGAGCAGTGGTATCTTGAATTCGTGTGGGGTGTGTGAATGTTGTACTGTGATGCGCCTCATCTCTGAAAGAATGTTATGAAGTGTAACTTGCATGTGTTAACTGCTTCTTATTCATTGAATACCTTCATTGCCTGGTCTGGTGAGTAATGTAGGCCAGCGCAAAGAAAAACCGGTAAAAATATATTGTGTTCCATTGTATGTATGAATACAGGTTTTGAGTTTTTAGCTGTGCAACTGCTCTGTATCCCCTAACAGCTGGTAGGTAGTGCTGAGCAATCTACTTGTAGTGACTCTTGCACAAAGGTCTAACAGGCTGATAAATTTTGATCGATTTCTCAGATTATTTAAAGGAGTTTTTATATATTACCGTTTGACAGATGTAAAATTTTTGAACATCAGGAACTGAAGCTCTTTTATTGCCAGAGGATGACAGATATTGATAACACAAGGTGTTGCAAGGTGACAGAGGGGCTTAGTCAACCGTTGTATGAAAATATCAAACCAAAGAGCTCACACTCTCAATACCTGAGCGGGAGCTGGTCAGACAGTGACTGAATGCTTTGTATTAGAGACCGACTTTCTTGGCTTCTTCAATTTGTGTTTTTGACGCAGTGCTATAAACGTGCCATGGCAGGGGAAAATAGATGGTGGCGTGGACTGGCATGTTTGTAGCGTGCTTGACAATGTGCTTTTAAAGAACCTTTTCCATATGTGATAATAGGTGGAAAGCCTTTACTCTTTAGGTTTTTGGAGGCGTGAGAATCACAGTTTCTCTGACAACTGAGGCTCCTAGAGAAACTGATCTTTTCCTCCTTTAATCTCTTTTCTAATGTGATTTTAAAAAACAAGTCAGAAGTTAGGATAAAGCATTACATTAGGAAGAATACTTTAATCAGCACAATTTGTCTGTAACTTGAAACTGTGCTCTACTGCACCTGGGTAATAAGTTGTTTACTCTTCTGCCAGACTTCTAGTAGTAAATCTTGATTTTCAGAAATTGCAAGGAGCAAGAAATTTGTTAGTGTTCGTTAATGATCGTAGTTTCAGGATACGCGTATCTCTCTTTCCTGTTAAGTCTTTGCTTCTGCATTTTGGTTCCATCTAGCAAATGAAGGTTGAGATTGCCCTTACCAGCCTTCTTTACTTCTTCTTGCTGTGCAAACTCAAAGCATGTTATCATGCTCTAAACTGGATATGTGGAATAATTGATTTAAATTTTTTAGAAGCAGTTTTGCTTGCTTGCTTTGAAACCACAATATGACCACACAAACGTCAGGGTAGTGGAAGAAGATGAGATGGTGAGGCACTCATGTAGTCCCTGTAACGCACAGGTTTTGCCGTTATTGTGATGGATTTATACTAGGGAAAGTCAAAGGAACTGCCTAATTTATGTAAAGCCACAACCCTTTTTAATCAGTGCCTTATTACAGTATGGTTTTTTAATTAGCTTTTGAAATGCAAATCTATCTTTGATACTTAAGTGCCTGTTAGATCTAAGAAGGGTGAAGGGTTGAAGTAGCTCTTACAAAATGTGAATTTAAAAAAAAAGTAAAAAAATTTTGGGGAAATTTTTGTCTATAACTCACCTTGGAAAAATAAATTTGTATGTATTTTAGTAAAAAGTATAGTGATGCTGGTTTCAAGATATCACTGAGGATGTTCTTTTCTTCCAGTTGCTATTTGCTACTACTTTGTTAAAGTTTACATAAAGCTTTTATTCAGGGAACAAATATATGAAGATCTAAAAGGTCTGAAGCGTGACAGTGCCTCTGAGTTTCTTTATATGGATAAATTTGCTCTATATATCCATTTAGAGACGCCCACTAAATTAATCCACATCTTGTCTTTTTTCCCCCCAGTGAATCCAGCTGGTTTTCTTCCTCCACCTGCCTTTGCAGTTTTTAGTACTTGGCTTTGAGCTTTTTGTGTAATTTGCTTGATTGTGATGAGGTATCTGTATCACTGCCTCGTACTAACTTTAGGTATGTCTGAGTTTCAATAATTCAAAAAGCACTCGGTGATAACTTATAACCTTTTTTTTCCTCTCTCACCTCAATTAAATAATTTCCTTATATTATTATTATTATTTCTTCTTTAAATATTTATAGAAATTTTATTTCCAAACTTTCATTTTGCAATTACTTTTAGAAAAAAAAACGCAGGCAAATCACTTCAGTTACAAAATATTCCTGTGGTTTAGTATCAAGAAAAGGCAGCTTTGTATTTAGTAAAAATGCAGTATTTCTTTTGGAACTATCTGAAAACATTGCAGATGTAGCGATTATTTCTTCCTGGGCTGTGTGTGTCTGTGGCATCCCTAACGGGTAATAGAGAAGCTTAGCTCAGTGACAGAGTGAAACAAGCCATGTGTATAGACCAGCTCCTCGGAGATGCAGTTAGGTTAAAAATAACAGCACGGGTTTTTGCTCAGTATTACATATTTCCTTTAAGAGCAAGGGTGGGAGGGGGAAATCTTGATCTAAATTTTCTGTACTCTGGAATTGGAAAGAAACATCAACTAGGAGCATAGATACTTCAGTGGAAGGTACTTAAGAGCACTTAACCAGTAAAAGTGACACAGGTGATAAATTTTCCTTGCAAAAATACATTTTCTGTGAAAGCAGCATCTACATGTTTCATAAATTGGCTTAGATCAAAATACATTTCTTGTCAATGACAAGTGGAAAGGGTGGTTTTAACAAAACTGTAGTTTGTACAGTTTCTGTCAGCTGTTACTGAAAAAGTGAGAGTTTAGACATTTAAGATAATAAATGTTCTATCTTATATGACATTTTGAATTCTTAAAATCCACATTTGTCCAGTTAAAGTAGGAAAAAAATCTAGATGAGCCATTACACCGATCTATATTAGTACTTGGACTGACTCACATGGTGTTAGAGAGTTAGGGCAAAATTTTCTTCCAGAATTTGATTGAATTTAATTCTTTTAGGAATATAGCAGGAAAGCACTTGGGATTGCTCAAAACTGAGGTGATTGCTGCCTTATCTTGTTCAAGAGGGTTGCAGTAGCTCATCTTCTTGACTGTTGAGCACATGGCACAGCAGCGTTTAAATTGTGTGGTCGTTCATTAAGTTCGAAATTTCTTAATTAGGTATTGTCTTAGGTGCAACATTCTGTGTCATCATAAACCAAAAAAGATGAGGTTTTGTAAGTTTGGTTTGCACCGTCAATTGTTAAGTCTTGTAATTAGCAAACACATTCTCTGCATTTGGTTAATGGACAAAGCTGTCTTAACATAGATCAAAAATGGTATAAAGTTATTGTAAACCATAAAAAACAAAGCACTTTGCAGCATGCATTCAAATGTTGACATTTTGGTTTTGAAACTATGGAAGGCAATGTAGTTAATCTTTCGGGAAGTGTGAGCTCTGTGAAAGGGAGCTT